AAGTCAAAAATATCACTTTTTACCAAAAATGACAAAAATATTCACCAAAATTGGAGAATTAAAGATATCATTACAAAATGAACAAATCTGAGAGAGGTCCACATGTAGTACCTATATATGTAATATCAAAGCAATTGGACTTGCGTTTTTTAACAAGAAGTCGAAAATATCACTTTTTACCAAAAATGACAAAAATATTCACCAAAATTAGAGAATTGAAGATATCAACATGAAACGAACAAACCTAAGAGAGGTCTACCAAAGCATTCAGGCTTGTAGTTTTCAAGAAGAAGTCGAAAAAGTAAAACATTGACACGAACGACGTTCGGCGGACGATGACGGACGACGACGACGACGGACAATCACTCATATGATAAGCTCCGCTCGACAAAGTCGACAGCGGAGCTAAAAACTACAAACCTTCCAATCCATTGTCCACCCATGTCCCAATTATCTTTGCCCTTTGCACCTTGAAGTTCAGTTGTTAATGTTCGTCCACCCACTCTGTCTGTAGAAATTAATTACACAATTTCATGAATTTTTAGTCATACATCAATAACCTCAGCAGTAGATCCAGAAATTAATAATTATTAGACAGTGAACCAGAAAAAATGAAAACACACACACTTTATATGTATCTTCTGATTTTAGGGGTATGAGTCACCCCTGGTTTCAACCACTGGACCTTGTGTTTGCATTGGGGGATAACAGCTATTTATATACAATCAATATTAATACAGGCTTAATTAGTGTCAACTGTTACATTTTCGCAACTGATCATTTATAAAGATTATCCAAACATAATAATAATAATAATGAATTTATTGCATTCTTAGAAATAATTTCTATTGGTTGACAGCAATAAAAAATGGTAAGCCAGTTGCGTGTACTTTGTTTATATTTATTACTGAGCACGTTGACACATTGACGCACAGTGGGTCAAACGTTACCTTCAAGTATTTTTGATTGACACGTCAGCCATGTCAGCTTCGAAGAAAGGTTGCACACAACTGTCAATGTTGAATTTTTCTAATACAAGCAGTAAAGTGAGTAATACCAGTATGATTGATGTATGACGTCGCTCTGACAGTATGTATGACAGTAAATTCAACTGAACGAAAAATCGATCACACGCGGCACAATCTGATGATATAAATCATTTAAATTATGGCTTCTCTCTTATTGGAATATGTGGTGGCCCTGAAAATGGCCGTTTAGTTTGGTTGCTATGAAGCCACTAATCAAGCTCGATCACTTCATTATGATCTTCTTGGTGGTCGAGATTTCACAGAGTCTGCAATGCCTCACGGCGGCGGGCAGCAAATGACAGAATTTCGTAAACAATGCGGAATATATTCAAAAATATTGAATGTATATTATCTTTTTTCGGATCATGTCATCCAAGATCTCGAGACGCGATTTGCTGATCATCACTGTGATCTGTGAGCTGCACTAGCACTTTTACCGTGCAATATTGGTCAGCACACATCAACCCATGTGACCTCAATTAACAACTACTATGGGAAATCGTTGCAAAGGGATGAATTTTTGAATATTGAAATTGAAAAGTGGATAACAAAGTTCAGTGATATACCAATTGAGCAAAGGCCCAATGATGCTGCTTCATCTCTTGCTGTTTGTAATGTCAACTATTTCCCAGCCATCCACAGAATTCTCACAATATTCTTTACAACACCTGTCGGAAGCGTGTCATGTGAACGTTCTTTTTCTGCACTTCGGCGGGTGAAGTTATGGACACGATGTAGCATGGCTCAAGACAGACTCAGTGCTCTTGCAATGTTACTAGTACACCGAGGCACAGACATCATTCCTTCCCCAGAAGTGATTTATTCGAGGAAAGCTAACTGGAGATAAATTAATATGCTATCGCCAAAGTTGTAAACATAAATTGTGTATTTTACAATCAGTCATGTACATTACATTAATGTTGATCCTATATGAAGATAGAACAAAAGTGTTTTGTATATATTCATAAAATATATCAAGATGATTTTATTGTTAAAAATAGATAGATATACCCCCCCCCCCATAGCCATTAACGTATGGCGCAACTGCACACTTCTACGCCTTCATACATTTATACGCAATTTAAAAAAATGCATTTGCTGCCCCCCTAGTGAAAAAAAGCTAGCTACGGCCCTGGCAACTGCAAAGAGGATCCAGTTACACTGTTACTGATATACAATATAGGGCCATGCAATACATAAAGTAATCATTCGTCTAATACTGTTATGCGAAGAGTTCGGGAGCATCCATTGTATCGGAGTGACCTGACCCTGTTGACTTTTGATATGCATTTGCACATTCAAGTTCATGCTTGAGGGAACACAGATTTGATTTGATAGAATACGTACAGTTCGATCGTGTCATTGTGCACGTATAATCTCATTTACCTTTGGCTTCCAAAACCAACACAGTACACTCAGGGTAGATCTTCTTCACTTCATGCGCTGCTGACAACCCCGATAACCCAGCCCCGACAACGATAACATCGTAGTCACAAGATTGAGCGACGTCCTGTTGATGCTGCCGCTGTTCTGAAGCACTCATTTTGCACGTAGCAAACTATGAATGCCCTTTAGACAGAATGTTGTCACCACATCATGCAGAACACGAAATATCACATCGCCGAAAAAACGAGTTCAATCATAGTTCACAGATATGGCAAGATTAGTAGTCAGTTGTTGTTAGCCGGCCATTGCCTCATTTGCATACCTACGATCTACTAGTACTTGACGCTTCCGTGACATTTGAATGGCGATACTACTTCAATGGGGGCATACATTTTCAGCGCTAAAATCCAAAATTGTAGTCTCAAATAAAAACAAATAAAAACAGTCACACACAGAAAATATGTATATAAGTGTATAGAAGGCGTCAAAACGAACAGTCAATCTGTAATTATGATTCTAGAATAGAATCTTTATTGCTATCGTACCCCATATTTGAGGTTTTCCTGCAAAGTACAATAAAAGTAATACATTCTGAAAACATATAAAAAATATAATATAGGGAAAAAAGACGCTCAAATGTCTAAACATATAAAAAATTATTAATTTGTATTTTCTGAAGCAGCTGGTTTAAGAATCGTTTAAGCATATCCTTTTTAATTGAGTTTTCTCGTATATTAAACTTGAAAACTGTTACAAATGTTTTTCACCACATCGTTTATAATGTTTTTATCTTTATTGTTTAAAATATTAATTAATAACTGTTCATTGTTTTTGTTGTTATTAATAATGTTGAGTTTTTTTTCAAGAAACTTTGTTTTTCTTTAGCGTATAACTGACATGACAGCAAAAAGCTCTTTTTCAATTTCATTATTTTCACAAACTGAACATTTTCTATCTTAGATTTGTACATTTTTATACCTTTCATTTTCAATCTGTAAGCGATGGGCACTTATCCTCAGTTTGGTCATTACAGAGCGATAAAGATTTTTATTATTTGCAAGTATTTTTCTAGTGAAATTGAAAAATCCGTTTTTAATTTTCTGTACGTTCTCAGCTTAATTTTATGGTTTGTGCGTTTGTCGTCGTTCACAAACAAATCTTTTCTGTCTTTGTGTTTCAAGTTTTTCACGAACATCTCTAATAAAGCTTCACTGTGTTTTAACTCATTGTTTTCCAGATATTAAGTTTTAATTCATCTAATATTTGAATCACACTAGATACCCTAGACTGGCACAGTCGGGGCGATTAATTTGTTTTTGTAGTTAAAATAAAAAACAGAATTTCGCGAAATGGAGGTGTTAGCGCAAAATCCCCTGTAACCGCGCTAACACCTCAATTTGGCGATTTTTTAAATTTTATTTAAACTACAAAAACAAACTAATCGCCCTGAATGCGCCAGCCTATAGATACCCAAGTATCCAAGGCATATCCTTTATCCTTATCCAATATTTCATCATTTCTCTAGTGCTTTCTATGGGGAGAGGATAGCTCCCTATTCAAGTAAACACGCTAGATTGGGAGCCCTGCTATTCACTTTCAGCAAAATCTTGTAAAATTTGGTGTGCAGTTCATCTATTAATGTGAAAAGTTACACAATTGTAAAAAGTTACTCTTTCTAACTCTTCATTGCTGATATAACATTTAAATTTGGTTAGACGATTGTATTTCACATTTTACTAGTTGATTTACTCAAATAATCAACATGAGAAAAAAACACTTTGCAAGGGAGGTAACACACTACAACATGCAGCAAATTAAATACTTACTATATTTTCTATTCCCTGCGTGGTGCAACGTGACAAAAACGAAGTCCTTGCCGGCGAACATAATTAGGTATCATAACATGGCTCTTAGGCTGGAAGGTGAGGGAACTAGCATTATCTCCAAAGAAAATACGCATTACTACACGTCTTTTATGGAATCTAAACGAAACAACTTTGTTTCGACTGCTAATTTATTACTGACATGGTAATTTTATTTTTAGACACTGTTAATTAGCTATAGAATAAATAAAATAAAAATCGATAGACAAAAAGTAGTTTGATCTTAAATCTTGGTCCGACGCGTAATTTCGCCGAAGATTCTACAGAGTCGTTATCAGGAATTATCTTATTGATTACGGGAAACCATAGCACCAGCCTTAGCTATGAAACAAAACAGCAACAACTATCAGTATATTATATTATATTACAATTAGCGATCATTCTATATTCTGTATTCACCATTGGTTGCAAATTGTTTATTCATACTTGATTTTGATTCTGTTATATACTTTTAGAACAGTTTTTTTTTTTTTTTTTTTTTTTTTGGTTATAGTTTTTAAATTTATTTTTGTAAGACCCATTTTATCCATTCCTAAAGATTTTATGCGGCTAATAAATATTGTAAGATTATAAAACAATAAAATTGCCGCCACGACTGGGCCAGTCTAGTTAGATACAAACTCATTATATTAAGTTTGTCCGCTACTAAATGCAACGTTTACTCAATTTCCTTATTTTATCTATGCGCTAAATCGAGTCTTCTATATTTTGACACGGAATATTGAAGATTTGAAGTTTGAAAGTAGGCTCCTAAAAAAATGTTTATTTTATCGTTCAATCCGGATTATAACAACGGTTAGAGTCGATCCTGCCCATCATTATAAACGAGGCGACACACACTGCATTCATTAAAACTGCGTATGTTGGAGATGTCGTCAGATTAGCAGGAAATATTTTTGACTTTTATATGTGGTACTGTAGCAAACACGACAGCGCCATCAGGTGTATTACTGTAGTGAACACCACAGCGCCACCTGGTGTGGTCCTGCGCACAGCAAACATGACGGCGCCACCTACCAATAGTAGCGGGAATTATAGACACAACTCTCCTGATCTACATATAGAAATAGATTTTAACAAACTTAGAAATGCATGTTTGAAATAAATGTGCCACTGTTTTTTAATATAAGTTGACATTCATACGAAGAGTAATTTTCCGACTGTATGTTATTGTAGGATAGGATATGATATTTTATTTGGCACGTACACAATACACAGCTAGTGTAAAGTCCAAAATAACACAAACAAAATAAGTTAAAACAATTCTAAAACATGAAAAACAAATTTTGTTAGACTACTACTAATATAAAGATCAGAACAAAAATATCATCTCTAACTATTTGTTGTAGGTTAGGGGCATAAACATAGATTGCTGTAAATAATGGATTTCTTAATTCCATAATTGTGTCATGGTTACATCTGAAAAGGTAATGTTTTTCATCACCAATTCATTACAGTTACACAGATGACTCTGTCTTATCTTTTAATGCCTCTATGTCGACACTTTTCGACTGGTAGTTGATTGGCTGAAATCCTGAATTTGGTTAGAGCAATTCTAAATTTCCTGTTTTTGGTGTTTTCTAAATGTTGTTCAAATTTAATACAAGATTTAAAAGTGCTATAAGTTCAAAGATTGTTATTATCTGTTTTTGGTGATTTCCTTCTTCCATTTACTAAGGTAAATGTTTTTCATTTTTGCTTTGAACATCTCACCAAAGTCATTCTGATTAAGGTCATCAACTGTGAGCTGTGTAACTTGTAATAGTTGTTTGACATAGATGTACCATGAATCACAACTACTAGAGTTGCTAAAGTTAGAAGCTACTTCTAAAATAGAATTGCTTGTTTTCTTACAATACAATCTTTGAAAATAACTCATAACTGTAGTACAGACATTGATAATAATTGGATATCGACCCTGCAAGCATTATTTGAAGCTTTTCTGTTTACTCCCAAGACTTGTTTGCAATATGTTGTTTGTTTATTGTATATGTGCTTCGGGGGATATACTACATTTAAACAATTGTGAATCCGTGGGAGCGCTTGGTCCGTGATGTATACCATGAAATAAAAGATTTCCACAGACAAAGAGAGAGTTTTTGAAATATTTGCATGAATATGAGCACAACATTTTTACCAAGTAAGTTAATTAATTGCCATCAGAAGCACATTACTTA